GATGCGGGTTGAAGCCCAGGTGCTACCGTTTAATTGAAGAAATGGAAGGGCTCTTTTTCCTTCTAAATGAAGGAAGGGTAAGTGTGGAGGCAGGTGGTTTAATCTTCATTAAGTGGGAGGAAAAGGTGGAGTGTGAAGAGTTTCAGGCTTGATCTTGCAAGGTCTTTCTCTAATATAACAACATTTTTGTTTCAAATTGTAAGTCAGAAGCTTAGAGTGAGAATTACACAGTTATAAATCCTCAGATCAAAGTAAAGTGAAAGGTGGATTTGACTGGGGATGGTAAAAGGCTATTTAGCTATGCTGTCTGGAATGATAGAAATATCAGACAGCAGAAATAGTGTAGGCAGTAGTTAGGAATTACATTTAATAATCTGAAAGAAAATAAGAGAAGGGAGAGACTCTGTAGAAAAGAAAGGGCATATTTCTTCTTGATTTTCAAGGCATCAGCAGCTAAGCCAGAAGCTGATTTTACTAAGATAACTTTGTTCCTACTGTAGCAAAAGGTTGCCTGCTTGCCTATCCCCCACTAACCCATCTAACAGGAATCACTTATTAAATGATCTGAGGAGAATGGTTCACCAGCATGAGATCTTTGAAAATTTATCTGAAAATGACAAAAGGAAAAAAGGAAACTGACACCTGCAAACTCTTCGATCTTTTTATATTATTTCTGTTTCCTGGATAAATGAATATTTAAATGACCCAAATAACTGCAATTATGTACCATGTTTCTATATTTCCAAAGATATTTTTAAAATAATATGTGTTTTGTGTAAAAGGTCTCAGGTCAAATATTAGTATATCATCAAAATATATTATTGTGGGAAATCTTCAACAGATAAATTTAGTTTTTATTTTTAAGGATTTTACTTTGTAATTTTTAAGTAGAAAATCAGAAAAAATTATCTAGCCACAAATGTTTAGTTAACGAATAATTATCATTACAGTGACAAATTTTCCTAGTAGAGATTTTAAATATCTCTACTTTGGAAGTCAAATAAGATACTGAGGAAATCTTAAAACATAATTTCATTATAAAATCTATATATCAAGTCTAATTGAGAGAAATGAATGCAGGTTTTCTGTTTCCATTAACACCACTTATTTCTTAATATTTAATGCTTTAAGATATGTAAGTTCAAATAAAGCTTTAACTAGGTTTATAGAATAATATACCATTAGAAAGTATGGAAACATTAACCAAGCTCTAAAAACTCTGCAGTGCTTGCTAATTAAATTAGGGAAGAGGAAATCCTTGGGCTCTAGCTAATAGAATGAAATGATTAATAAGTTAACGTAGTTCTACCTTGCGGCACCGGCACACTGGGTTCTAGTCCCGGTCGGGGCGCCGGATTCTGTCCCGGTTGCCCCTCTTCCAGGCCAGCTCTCTGCTGTGGCCCGGGAGTGCAGTGGAGGATGGCCCAAGTGCTTGGGCCCTGCACCCCATGGGAGACCAGGATAAGTACCTGGCTCAAGATATGCTGTCAGTAATGCGGTTTAATTTGAGTAAAATTTTTATCAGTATATGCATCTTCAAACTTGTAAAAAAACATATAATTTAAAAAATTTGATGAGAAAATTTTCACTATACCCTCTCCTTGATGGAATGATACTCTTATTAGTCCTATTGAATTAAAATTAACACTAATATAGCTATTGTATGCATAATATTTATTCATATATACATGTATGAGACTGAAAATGTTATTTTTAGAAAAATATCACTTTTGTCTTTAATGTGCAGATTAATTGAAAACATCTGGCTTACCAACAGTCTTGAAACAGGCTGGACTTAATGTAGGGTAGTTTTCTATCTTAGGGAGTTCAGATTCCTATGCTTTGTTCTTGGATGGTTCAGCTAAATAAGCATTATTACTTTTCCCAGAAAGCTCTTAAAATATTGCTAAGATGGTATCAACAACAATGTCCTCTAACCACAAATCTTTATTGTAAATTCAATGAGAGCTCACTGCTAAGAAATTAAATGCTTCAGTAAAATAGCCAGCTTACTGATCGAGCCACAACCCCACTGAAATCACACATCTAAATTGTATTTTGTGTCCTGATCCAAAGATAAATGTGTTTTCACATCAGACCAGTTCAGCCTGCATGCCCTTGGCCACTACGCATGTCAAAAGACCAGTTCATCAGAGGGTATTATCCTCATAGACTTCTGGACAGTATTTTGTCCTTTATAAAACTTCATGTTTAGTTTCCATGACTGAGTCTCCTGGGACTATAATGTACTATTACCTAGAGTTCTACATTAAATTCAAAACTCTGTTTAAAGATTCTAGTAAAGCAAAATTTAATTGCAAATCAGCATTAATGTATCCTATTTTAATGTTAAAAAGAATAAGATACTCTAATCAAATTGTATGGTTGCCGATTATGGGAGGTATTCTAGAACTGACTAACCTCAAGCATGGCTGAAGTCCAGCAGTATCAGCAACAGCTAAATTCCTGTGAAAAATGCAGAATCTCATACTCAGCCCAGACAACAGCTGCTGCATATTAAAAGGATTCCACTTACATGACTCTCGTTCTCATTAAAGTCTAAGAAGACTTGATTTAGAATATTATACTTCATTCACTAACCCCAGAATCTTCTGTATTCCCATCTGTAAGACCTCCCTGGGCTAGATAACATAGATAATAGCAGCAGTATTTCCTGCACCAAAGGGCCTGACAATGAAGGGCTATTCAAAAGGATTATGGAAACTGTGTATTATGAAACAATTGGCATGCATCTCAAACATTTTCATGCAAAAATAAAGATATGTTAATTCAATTTTCCCCACAAACCTTTTGAAGTACCCTTGTGTGATGATAGTTGGTTGAACAGAATTATATGGCAACAAGAAGAGGAAATAAGCCTGCTCTAGAGAATAGAGCAATTAACCTGAAAAGACAAGGGTATCGTCCACGTTTTCAAACCATCATCACCAAAGGGTTATGAGGGAACTCTGCTTAGGGTACTACATGCTATATTTCATTTGCACACTCCAAGTAAGTCTACATAACTCCTTGCCAGGATCTTTATCCCAGCACATTGGAGACTCATTGATCAGTGTCCCACAACAATTGCAGTTTTACTAAAGCAATGTAACTGGATTCTACCAGGGCTAACCTCACAATGCTGTTGTAGTTACCTCAGAAAGCCATAAACATCATTATACCTCCCGGGTAATCTCCTGCTTGATGTCTCACCTACACATACCCTTTTGAGTCCTCGTCTTTAACCCGCCCCCCAAACCATCTAAAAATCGTGCTTGTATTATCAACCTCTTTTTGAAGCTTCTGTTTTCCAAGAATTTCACTCTAACAGAAACCTGCATGTCTCCTGATAATACTTTTTTCCTAAAGTCCTCTCATGTGGTAATTGTTTTTTTCTCGCACCCCCAAAATCACTGAGATTAAAGGCAAACTGTTCTTAAGGTCTCTCATTGATGACTGGAGACCTATCTCCCACTATTTTTCTAAAATTGACAATTTTGAATCTCCTTATAGGACACGACTACAGTCCTCATTGCGTTGTCATTGATAAATATCTGGTTCTCCCTTTGTCTTACTTCATTGTTGTTCTCACCAAATCTACTTATGTGTTATTTCTCATTGATATGAACAAATGCAGAAATAATCCTTCCAATCCTTTGGCTTCTCAGTTCCTTTATTTATTCCATTGAAGGGAGCTTGGCTTCTACTTCTCTCAGCCACTCACCGATGAGGTCATAGCCTAGGCTTGTGAATTTTAGCAGCTGTAAGCTTTCTATTACCCCAGTTTTGCACATCTCATAATCTGATTACTCCCTCTTCTCTATTTTACTTTCTCCAGAATTCCAAAACCAACAGTCTATTGACATTAGTGTGACCTACTCATTGAGCCTATCCATCTCTTTGCTTGCTTTTCTCCTTCTTTTCTATATTCTTAATGCATTTTCTTTTTCTGTCTACACTTGGTGATCTATCTTCATTGCATGGATTCATATATTATGTATATGTCGACAATACTCAAATTCTTATTGTCAGTGTACACTTCTCACTTGAACTCCAGATTAAACCTGCTATATACCACTTGTGGGGAATTATCTTTGCTTCCTGGGGCTGGCATTGTGGCACAGTGAGTAAAGCTACTGCTTGCGATGCTGGTATCTCATATTGGAAAGCTGGTTTGAGTGCCAGTTGCTTCACTTCCAATTCAACTCCTTGATAATATTCCTGGGCAAGTAGTGGAAGACAACACAAATGCTTGGTTTCCAGCCACCCGTGTGGGAGATCTGGTTGCAGTTCTTCACTTGTGGCTGCAGCATAGCTCAGCCCAGCCTGCTGTCATCATTTGGAGAGTAAACTGCTGGGTGAAGTTCTCTGTCACTGACTCTCTCTCTGTCTCTGACTTTTAAATAAATAACTCTTTTATTTTTTTTTTATTTTTATTTTTTGACAGGCAGAGTGGACAGTGAGAGAGAGAGACAGAGAGAAAGGTCTTCCTTTCCCGTTGGTTCACCCTCCAATGGCCGCTGTGGCCGGCACACCGCACTGATCCAATGGCAGGAGTCAGGTGCTTCTCCTGGTCTCCCATGGGGTGCAGGGCCCAAGCACTTGGGCCATCCTCCACTGCACTCCCTGGCCACAGGCAAGAGAGCTGGCCTGGAAGAGGGGCAACCGGGACAGAATCCGGCGCCCCGACCAGGACTAGAACCCGGTGTGCTGGCGCCGCAAGGTGGAGGATTAGTCTAGTGAGCCGCGGCGCCGGCCAATAAATAACTCTTTTAAAAATGTTAGCTTTCTTGATATTATTTGTGTGTCTCTGCTGCTAGAACCGTGTCTGGGACATGCTTAGCCTTCAGTAAATGAATCAATGTACTCATGCCCAACAAAGCAGAGAGGTAAGATAAAACATGACTTGTTAAATAATTCTGGAGTAATATGATGAAGTATGAATGAAGAGTGCAAGTGTGTCGGGGCTGATTATAAGGAGTCTCTATTTTATTTTTCAGGTAGAAAGGAATCTGAATTGATCCTGAGCACTTGAGGTGTCTCCTTTCATAGATTCTGTGGATGTTGAATTCATCAACATGGAGTGAAAAATAAAATATGAAGCAATCTTTCTAAATCTTTCTAAATCAGAATTTACTTCCTCTACTCTGAATTTGATATTTGTATGAGATTATTAAAATGTAGATGTTAATGAGTCACATGAGCATTTAGGCCAAGAGGAGGGACAGTGTCACCTATAAATAAATACGGAAGGAAAACTGATACATCCTTTAGAGTTATTAATTCAATAAATATTTGTATATAATAATGTCCTTAATCCCAGCTTGCCTGAGTTCATGAAACAAAACTACTTCATTATATTTAATGTTCATACAGTTGCTTGATGCCAACATTCACATACCAGCACAAATATACATGTGGATGTATACATGTATATTCACATACATGCATATTTTTACCATGCATATATTTTTTTATTTGTGTTTACTAAATTAATAGCTCAAGTCTTCAGTAAAATATACTTTGTCATCACAGTTTTTTTAATGCCTTATGGAATCATGGAGCCATAAACAATTCTCAGAAGACAATTCCTAGCCTGATACCACTTATTTCGAATGTCATCTCAATTTCTATAAATTTTGGAAGTATATGATGATGTAAACTGCAACTTTAAGAAGTATTATGATAGACAACAACTGTATAAAAGACATTCAGTGTTCATAGAACAATATGTATAAAATGAACGCAATTTTTTGATTATCATGAAGATTTAAAAAAATTATGGAATGGAAGAATTTGCATTTATGTGTGGCTTCAGTACAATACTTCATTAGAATTTTGAAAAGACATGCTACTTTAAATTATGCAATTTTACTCCAGTATAAATGTTTATGTAGTTGTAGTGAATGGGCCATTTTGTTATAAAAGAGAGATGAATGTGACAAAATTGGGCAGACCTTGCTGTAAGAGCCCCATGTTTTTTCCTCCAATCACTTCAGCTTAATATCACTTTGAATGAGTATCATTCATCCTTCCGAACAGCACACAGATCACAATTGATGATTTACAATTGGTACAGGATTCATTAGGGAAAGCTTTCTGTTTAAAAAATATTTTATGTATGTTCTGCATATTTTTAAAGGTTTATTACAGAGAGAGAGAGATAGAGAGAGAGAGAGAGAGAGAATCTTTCATTCGCTGGTTCAGTCCCCAGATCCACAATAGCATGTCCTGGAGCAGGCCAAAACAAAGAACATGAAGTTTAACAGTTGGGGCTGGAACGGCTGCTCTTCTGGCATGCCATGCTACAGTGCCGGCCCCCGGGAAAGAGCTCACGCACGTGGGCTGCAGGTAGAGGGCCCTGTTACCCTGAGGTAGCCAAGCTTCTCTGTGTACATTCTAAGCACTCAACACATCATCTCAGCACAGGGAGCAGAGTTCCACTTGCCAAATTTCATTTTTTTCAGTTTCCCTTTAAGAAATTTGTCCAAATATTACCTCCATAATATGCCTAAAAAAGAAGTTTATGGTTACATCTATGAATAAATTATAATTTTATTCAAAAATTTGTGTTTATTAAAATATATAATTTTACATGACAAAAATTACTTTAAATCTGCTTTGGCTTTAATTCTTTTGTTATCATAAAGTTAAAATAGAATCAATCTTTGTAAACAGAGAGAACTGATCACCATGGTATTTCACCGATTTTTTTTAAGTATGAAATCGTTTGAAAATAGTAATCTATTTTATTTATTTGGAAGGCAGAGAGAGAGAGAGAGAGAGAAAGACAGAGAGACAGAGAGAGCTCTCTCATCCACTAGTTTACTCCCCAAATGCTTCGAGTAACCAGAGCTAGACCAGGTCAGGAGCTGAAAAATCAATCCAGGTCTCCCAAATGAGTGGCAAGATTGCAACAACTGGGGCCTTCCAGGGTGCACATTAGCAGGAATCCAGAACAGAACCATAGCTTGAAACCAGGGATTGTAATATGGTTTGTGGACATCTCAAGTGACATCATAACCACTCAGCCTGCTCTTACAAACATCTTTATGCTAAATAAAAGAAATCCATGAGTCTGATGAAAGGAAAAACTTCCTAGACAGATATAAATTCCAAAAAGTGTCTCCATCATCCTTTATAAGTGGATCTTATTTCACCAGGTCTTAATTATGGGTTGTTGTAGGCAATGGATTCATAAAACACATGAAGACTGGTGATTGGGATGTGGAAGCAGTTATGTTGTTGTCGGATTAAGAAAACTTACACTACTATGTGAAAAATCCCGGGTCTGCTATAGGATGAGAACACGTGAAGTAAAATGGTACACCAAGGACAACATTTTGCTGGCTGTTGTACAAGTGTATGAAGACATCTGAAGGCCTTCCAGCCCATGACAGTAATCAATGGAGCCCATGAGAGGTGGTCTAGATAATAAAGTGAGCCAATGAAATATATTATTATGAGATAAGTTTTATTGTTAAAAACGTGTACATTAATGGAATCAATTGTTATAAAGGAGCAATTAATGTAGCAATATATTTTTGATATTCATCTTTACTATAAAAATAAACAGAAAGAGGGCAAAATCTGATATATGCTTATAAATTATCATTTGTCACAGCCTGCCTGAATAAACTGATAAACAAGATGAAATCTGTTTTTTTTTTTTTTTTTTCAATTTCTAGCTCGAAGTCTGGGAAGCTGAAATGCAGGCAGGAGATTCCAGATTTAGTGATAGGATTAAAAGATGAAAATATGAAACTACATTCTGACTGATTTCAGCAAGAAATAAAAACATCAAGGACTTTTATATGCAAAATGAGTCATTGCTGGGCCAGTGCTGTGGTGTAGCAGATAAAACTGCCGCCTGCAGTGCCAGCATGCCATATGAGTGCCAGTTCGAGTCCCAGCTTCTCCGCTTCTGATCCAGCTCTCTGCTGTGGTCTGGGAAAGCAGTGGAAGATGGTCCAAGACCTAGGGTCCTTGCACCCGCTATGGGAGACCTGGAAGAGGCTCCTGGATCCTGGCTTCAGGTTGGCTCAGCTCCAGTCATTGTGGCCATTTGAGGAGTGAACTAGAGGATGGAAGACCTCTCTCTTTCTCTCTGCTTCTGCACCTCTGTAACTCTGCCTTTCAAATAAATACATAAATCCTAAAAAAATAAAACGTTGAGTCCATTTAATTGATGAAGTTCACTGAGAGGTTACTATATTAAGTACTTCAAATGAAGCACCTTAATGTATTAGCTTATTTATGTTAATCTAACACAGTGATATTACTTTCATTACTACTAAAGCTGAGCTACTGAGAATTTCAGCACGTTTTCCAGTGTTACCAGGATGCTAGGTGCTGGTTCTGGGGCTGTGTCCATTCTCTTCATCACTGTTGCAGACTGCTTTCCATAACTTACTAAAAGAGGGTGATGAAGTCCATGCTGGAACTGTGTTTAATAACATTCAGGAGTGAAGAAATGGGAAGGCAGTGGGAGAGAAAAGGAGGAAAATCATGAGATTCAAGAAGAAAAATTGTGAGAAAAACATAACAACCTCAGATCCAGCACCTACTAAGCTGATAACCCTGGACAAGTTACCGAAACCCTCTGTAGCTCAGTTTTCTCATCTACATAAGAAGAGTAGTGATGAAAGTAATATTACTGCATTAGATTAACATTACACAAGCTAATACACTAAGGTACTTCATTGAGATACTTAAAAGAGTGATTGTTCAATGAACTTTATCAATTAAATAGGTTGAACACCCTATTTTGTAGAAAACACTGATATAGTTGATATAATTTTTCACAAATGCCTAACAAATAAATATACCCCAAATCATCAAACATTATTAAGTATATCATTTCATTTATAAACATCATAGAACAAAACACAAAATTCACTCACAATTCTTCCATTCTGTCATCAAATATCTTCATTTCTTTCTCAATTCCTTTTTAAATATCTAGTATCCACCCAATGACATATATTGCTGAATTCCAACTTAACACTCTAAGTAAATTCTGTATTTCCATTAAACTCCCATGATTATAATTTTATAGCTGAACTGAATTTTTCCAAATGTCATACTTAGTTCATTCTTTTTTTTCTTTTCTTCCTTTCCCCTCTTATATTAGGTAATGTGTAAAGAAAGACACTTATGTTTGAGCCTTTTCTTTCTAATAAATTATTTTATTCTGAGATTATACTCTGATTGAAAATGGTTTCTCAGGAGCCAGTGCTATGGCTTAATCAGTTAAGCTTCCTGTGAGACCAGTATCCCATATGGGCACCAGTTCTAATCCCAGATGATCCACTTCTGATCCAGCTCCCTGCTAATAGCCTGGGAAAGCAGTAGAAGATGGTCTTAGTAGGGGATTCCTGCACCCCCATAGGAGACCCTGAGGAAGCCTGGCTCCTGGCTTCAGAATGGCCCAGCTCCAGAGGATGCAAGACTTCATTCTCTGTCTATAACTCTGCCTCTCAAATAAGAATAAATAGATCTTTAAAAGAATAAAATGATGTTTCATAAATATTAAGAAAAATCTAGTTTAAAAAATAATACTATTTTATGGTAATTAGAAAAATATATGCTTTATCAAGTCCATTACAGTGTTAACATATTTTTACTATCTATATGATCCCAAAGAAAATCAATAAATTTAAACATTTTTGTTCTCAGTACATTTCACTTAATCCCCACCCCCCAATATATGCACCGTTTATTGAAGAGACTGTTCTTCAGGTTATTATCTTGGCTACCATCTCAAAAATATGCTGGCAATTCATGTATAAATTTATTCCTGTAGTTTATAATCTGTTTCTTTAGTCTATTACTTGTTAATCTTAAATTTCAAAATAAAATCAAAATTCATGCAAGAGTTCCTACAATAGAATAACATTGAAATTCTCTCATTTCAGGTTTGAAGACTAGAGACATTTCTATAATATTTATTTTGACCTTACAATAAAAAAGGGACTTTTGCTATCTATGATAAAGTGCAATGAAATATTTTGTAAGTGTGTACATGAAATAATTCCCTTTCAGTAAAAAAAACTAAAAAACACTTGCAGCTAACTAATGGTTTAAAACTCTAACATAGTTTGAAGTCTTTGAAATGAAGTTGTTGGAATATGGACCATGAAAAGATTTCAAAACATGAATATATTTCAATAACTTTGTAAAAATTGCAATTCAATTACCTGCAAAGCTTAAAGCAATTATGTTAGATAATTTAGGAATATAAATTTCAGAAAATATGCAATTGTTTTCAATTTCATCTCATAACCATATAGACTCAATTATACTGTTTTCCATTATGGAAGACTAATTAGCTTCACAAACTCTGCATGTTTGCCATGCAAGATATCATAATTAGGATTCCAACTTTTAGTTTATAAACATCTATCTTTTGATTTACAGTCTTATGCTGAATTATTTTCTGTACACCATTTGGAAAATATTTCTTAAACAATTGTTTCAATTATTCTTTGACCTTGTGTTCAGGCAGAAGGAAAAAAAGAATTTCATGGGATATTTTAAAACTCAGAAAATAAAGAAGGAAATGTATCTTTTAAGATCTAGTACAACCTTTAAAGGCTTTCCATTCTGCATATTTTCAGTCATCTCTGGGGCTTTTGTCCTAGGAAACTTCCTATTAAATTACAATTTAATTTTAGTTTTGAACAAAGATGATCAGGTAACAAAATATATAAAAAAGTAAATAAATAAAATGTTACAGAGACAAAATGGATGAGGAAGAAAATAATAACTTAATGATGTTTCATTAAACAACATCAGTTCCAAAATTGCTGTATTGTTAAGTGCATGTTATTAATGTGGATGAAGTGTGTCTAATGGGACATTAAAGCTTAAGAACACCACCTTTAACTCACAGGTTTAGATCTACTTAGAGGACAAGGAGACAATAAAATAGCTAATAAATATAAACAATATATGATAAGGCTCCAATAAAACTGTAAGATGGAAGTTGACAGTAGAGAGGCAATTAAGTGTAGTGTGAATTGGGTTAGATAATTTATGCCTTTTCCTACAGCTTGTGATAAAGTCAACCCTTTCATAAATAATTTTAATCATGAATTTAGGTGTCAGCTATAAATAGACTCTTTTCTGAGCCACAATATTTGAAGCCCTATATGTATAAAAGTTTCTGTGTAAGAGTTAATACAAGTACATGGTAAATAGAAGGTGTTTGGATTATGGCAAGTTCACCTTTTGTGACATAAGTCTCAAAATACTCAGTTTCATTCTATAATTAAATCTCTGGGGATATTCTTTGAATAAATAATCAATTCAACTATTTATAGCGCTTATAATATGTAAGATTTGACATAATAAATGTCACTTGAACTTGCTTAAATTTTTCTAGTTAAAATAAAGTTAGTGTCACATTTTTCATTTAATTTGAACTCAACCTACTTAAAAATGCTAGTTCACATGCAAATATCGAAATCTTTCAGAATGAGGGGCATGCATTGTGGTGCAGGGCATCAAGCTGCCTCTTGGAACACTCTCATAGCTAAACAGAATGCCTGTTGAACTCCAGGCTACTTCAGTTTCCAATCCAGCTTCCTGAAAATGTACCTGGGAAAGCAGATGATGATGAACCAAGCACTTGAGGTCTTACAGCCCAGGTGGAAAACCCAGATGGAATTTCAGATTCCTGAGCTCAGCCTGGCCCAACCCAGCTTTTGGGGACTTTTGGAGAGCAAACTGGTAGATGGAAAATCTCTGTATTACTTCTTCTCTTTTATCCCTCTCTCCCTGTCACTCTGCTTTTCAAACAAATCTCCAGGATGAAAGAGGAAGCTCTATAACAAAGATAGCATGGATTTTTATCTGATAAAGACAAATTTTGTCAAATAATTAGCCAAACCTGTAAGGAAAAAAAAATCAGAAATTTCATTTGATTTATTTTACCGTTTAAGTCTTTTGATATGCTTATTCGAAAATCATCACACATAAAAGAAAAAAACAAGTAGGTTTACAGAATGAATTTTCTTGAATCAAACATCTGACTTAACTGAATTGTTTTTATAATTTGAGGCTATTCTGTCATAGTTTTTGGTCTTGAAGATTCCATCCGTTATTAGTCCTCATTATAAAGTATTTCTGCCTTTATTGGATTTCAAAAAGCACAGTGAATATATTTCTAGTTATAACTCGCAAATCTATTTTTGTCATCACATTCAGAAGTATACTTCCTAGGGGCTGGCGCCGTGCCTCACTTTGTTAATCCTCTGGCTGCGGCACCGACATCAATGGGTGCCGGTTCTAGTCCCGGCTGCTCCTCTTCCAGTCCAGCTCTCTGCTGTGGCCTGGGAAGGCAGTGGAGGATGGCCCCAGTGCTTGGGCCCCTGCACCCACATAGGAGACCAGTATGAGGCACCTGGCTCCTGGCTTCAGATCAGTGCAGTTCCATCTGGAGCTGCCATTTGGG